ATCGTCAATTAGTAATTGAGAGTCCGTAAGTCGTAGCAGCTCTTGCATCTCTTTGGGGGATCTTGTTCATAACTCTTCTCCATTGCTTACCTACGCCTTTAAGGCTTTCCTGAGTCTGGTTTCACTGACCTCACGAGATACTTCGCCAAAAGTTCATACGTCTTAATGCCTTCCGGATAGGCTAGTATCTTCTTTATGCTGCACTAACCGGTATCTGACAAAAGTTTCTCCACTATTTTCTGTCTGTCCCTTTTGCCTCTTTTGCCCCTCTACAGATATTCCATCCGGAAACGTTGGCCTCATGCTCACCTACTCGTCAATGCTAATCGGGCTATTCCAGTGGTCTGTTCGACTGAGTGCCGAAATCGAAACTCAGGTTAGCAGCTCTTCTCATCTTGGATACATTCTAGAATTTGATTAAAGATTAATTTTGGGTTTGGTCTATAGTATTTATACATTCAAATATAAAATAACTATTAAAAATAGTTATAGCCCCAAAACCTACTTTATATGAATATAAAATAACTTTGATCCTCAAAGTCATTTTAATTTATTTTCTGCTTTTCCTACTGAAATACTACGACTTGCTACAAAGTATAAAGTAGGAAGATATTTGGTGCTTTAGGGTAGTAGTATATTTTAATTTCGTATAATGTATCCTTCACATATTTAGTTGACTCTTATTTCCTCACTACTTCTTCTATTGTTTTAATCACTTAATTTTTTCACCTTATTTTATCTATTTCTAGATGATCTCTTTACACCGGGCGCTGGCCTACAGCTTTTTGGAGCCCGAGGAAGCGACTTTGCCAGTTAACAAACAAACAGGGCAATATTCACCCCTCTCATTACAGAATAGATCGGCTCTTCTATTTACAGAGTCTAATACTCTAAGTCTATCTCAGCACCCAGATTCGTCATCCGTGGACACTTCATTGTTTTCTAACTGGCCTGACATTGGCATTGTCGAGTTTCGTCAGATCAGTTTGCGATTTCGTCCAGATGGACCGTTTGCATTAAAAAACATTAATCTTGTCGTTCCCCCAGGATATAAGGTTTATCATTTTCTAAGTGAACTTTTTTTATTAGAGTTCTTCCTATCATTAATGCTAGTTACTACTAAACTCTATGACATTTTTCACTTTTTTACCCTCTAAGTAACTTTACCAAGAGAAACTGCGTTTCGATGAATCTCCTGAAATAACATTGTTGAGAGAACTTTTATTTCATATGAAAGTGCATGAAGAAGATATTAGTTGGTCTATCTCACCAGAGAGGACAGATGAATCCCGTTGTACTGCATCCGTTTGGCTTCGTCCTCTTCTGGTGAGATCGACCAACGAATCTCTTCTTCATTCACTTTTATACGAAATGAAAGTCACTACAACTTTAATACCAGACATGTACTATTTAGCCATGAATCTCAGTATCCTTGCTAATTTTACAGCCCCAAATTTAGTAGTAGAAATTGTCTACCTTATTATTTATACAACAGTTAGCTCGTATTAACGAAATAAATATACCTTATTTATCACAACCAAATATTTATGCATTTAATCTAGTTTATGGGAGGTTTTCACACCACACTACCTTTTTTATCATCGCATTATTTTGCTGCTTTTATTACTTTTGCTCAATAAATTATTATTTGATTCTGTATCTACCTTACTAGAAAAACAAATTCGATCTGCAGGTGGCTTAGGTTCAGCTTTCCATATGAACCATACGTCTCTTACTAAATACAAATTAGTTATACCACTTTATTAATGACCTTTTTCTACAAAGACCTCGTTTATGAGAAAGGTTCTTACAGTCGAAGTCAACAGATAATTTTTCAATTTATTCTTCACAAAATTACAATTTACTCAGCCTAACCTTTTTTACTCATTATCTCATATTAAATCGCTTTGCCTACTCATAACTTAGAAGGATAAAGAAAAATATCGAATAAAAAATGTGCTTTTAATCTGATGCTGCCTCTATGATAGCAGCAACCAAAATGTTCCAGTAAAGCCCAACTGAAACTTGAATAAAGAAAATTGCTGTCGACATTTGGATCGTCGAATCTCTTGATTACACATTTTAACTTTAAGCTTTCAACTATTCCAATGCTACTAATTCTTCCTTTTATTATCTCCATCTTTACACTAATGATACATTTTTCTGGCCTTCTTACCCTCATATTTTATGGCAGATAGGGATAGTGGGTCGTACGGGTGCAGGAAAGAGCAGTCTTGTTAGCTTGCTGTTCCGTCTTCAGGAAGCGGAGGAGGGTCAAGTTCTCGTAGACGGCGTTAATATTAGCCAGATACCACTTTCTATTTTGCGGCGACGTATTTCGATCATACCACAGGTAAGTAAACCTCACACTATAACAGATTACATGTAATTTCACAATCGCTTAAATTCAGATAATTGTTATCTGCTTTAATATTACCTACTTCCTACCAATTAAATTTGGGATTTGAGCAATTCATCGTTTCCCTATAAATAAATAGCCAAAACAAGTGATAACAAGCCTAATCTGCCTTTTCAATTTACATTTTTTCCTTAAAATAACTTGCGAGGGAAAAATCCTTTTATAATAACTATCTGAATCTAGGTCTTGATCAAACTTAATTTTATTTTTTCTTTTAGGATCCAACAATGTTTGCAGGGACCATCTTAACTAATCTGGATCCCACCAGATCTTGCCCTTTCGAGCAAATATGGAATGCTCTTGATGCAGTAAGCAATACAAATATTAACACATAAATTTATTACTTAAACTTATTTTCACAGAAATTTACTGGTTCCATTCTCTATTTCCAACTCTCATCCTAGGAAAGATATCATTGTGAATTGAGCTGCTAAGGTGTTTGTATTTCTATATCAGTTTGCTTTATTTTTTTTATTTTTCCTTAGATGCTCTCAAGCATATGAGAGCATAAACGATTACTTTATAGAAAGGGGTTAAAACTGGTGGTAAGAATTCTGGATTCTTTAAGGAACTAAACAGATATCAGTCCGAAAATGCAATTTTAAGTGGAAAAGCTGAAACATCCTGGCCTGAATCTCTGATTTATCAAAGTCTATCTTGCAAAACGTGGCCTAGGATTAGGCTGCAGCAGAATGAGACTTACAACTTACCATCTATACTAAAGTAAAGCCTGATATAGGAGTTCTATGTGTCAAAAGTACATACTATCCATGATCGCCTCATATCCAAAGCTATGCTTTGTATGTTACAAAAGTTAAAGTTAAGCTTTTATGGGCGTAGGGTTTTATGCTAATAAGATACGACCTTACAAAATGAAGGGACAGAATTTTTCCCTCCTTATACTGGCATACATGAAAAATTTCAAATCTTATGCCTTACTACCATGAAGCTTTTCTCCTTCTTTCTGATTGCTTGCACAGAAGTAATTTCCATTTACAAATAAAATCTTCATTCCCAGCCAATATTGCACTTTTGCCTAACTTATCTATTTCAGAGGTTTTTGTGGAAGAAGTCATAAAGAATCAAGTTTTTTTGGTACTTGTATTCTTATCTCAGGCATTCCTGGACACCTGGGTGTCAAAGTATACCTAGGTCTATTGTGATCTCAACTAAACGTGCCTACACAAGCGCCCAATAGAACCTTGGACAAAAATAATGGGACAACCTTGTCCAGTAAGTGAGTAAAGCTAGAAATGACGATGATACTTAGTTGGATATTTTCACCTAGACGTTTAGGCAGTAAATAATATTCATAGCAAAGTCTTTAAATTTTTGGCTGAGCCTCAGTGCAAAAACGTCGTGTTTCCTCTGTCGTATATATAAATCCAATTCTCTGAAATTAATTCAGTAATTTCGTCCCATAGTGCTAAAGGTAAAAATCAGTTTACGAATTACCTGACTAGAATCAATATCTTACCAATTAGA